TCTTTCCCTTGCCTCTCTTTCTCTCTCCCTTTCCTCCCCCTGCATCAAGCATCATGACATGTGCATCTATCTCAGATGATGTTTGCATACACGATGATACCATTATTTTCACAAGAATCGCTGAAAAAGGTCCAGGATGCAGTTCTTTTATACCCGAATCACATAAATTCGTATGAACCTAAAACAACATCTAGCTATCAAAATGATATCACTGTAAATAGATGATTTGAGAATAGTGCACCCCATAAACATCACAATCACTCTTCTACAAGTAAAAACCAAAAACCAGAAACCCTAAAACCAACTGTGACGTTTTATCAGAAAAATCTACATGCAACATTTGCCAGAACGGAAGTTTTACAGATCACAGCGAGAAACAGAAGTTATATACCTTCATTGCAATCATCTCTCGATCATCACGCTTTCTGTCACGAAAATCATCCTCTCTTCTGCACTTTGTATCATCCATAGAAGCTGATGAATTTTCTTCAGATCGTCTTCTTTCTCTCTCATCAATCCTCGGAGAAAGCCTCTGAGAATGCCTTGAAGTCCCAGCCTTTCTATCGACATCTTCATCTCTTCTACCACCACCCAGAGATTGTGGAACCATATTAGGAGGTAAAGGTGGAGGCGGAGGCAAACCCAGAGAATGAAAATGGTCATCAGAATGAGATTTCCTATCATCTTTGGTTCTATCATCCTTGTTTCTATCATAACCCCTAGTTACTCCTCTATCTGGACCCCTCTCAGCCGAGCGTTCTCTTCCATGATGGTCCACAGACTTATCTCTTATTTTATCAACATCATCTCCATGAGATTTATCTGAACGCTCCAATCTTTCTCTGTAGTCTCGGGCATGCCTTTCACTGCCTTTCTCCTTTGACCTGTCCTGCTCCCTGTGCATGTTCTGATCAGCAGTGGTTGCCTTGTCAAAGTCTACTACTCGGGCATCTACAGATCTTGCTCGGTCACTCAATCGGGGGTTGGCATCATAATCTCTGTGCTCAGCATCTCCTTTGCGACGTTTACCCATCCTCTCAGTATCCTCAACAGCAGTAGTTCGTTTTTGTAACCTATCACTCGACTTCGAAGAAGATATGTTGTCAAGCCTAGGAGAATGGGCAGTAGGAGAAGGTTGCTTTGGTACATCAGAAGCATCAGCACCATTGTCTTTCACTGCATCAGACGTTACATCAAAAGATCTGACAACTCCATCCAATTTTGTATTAATTGCCATGAACATCTAATGCTTGTGTGGGCGAGGTCGAACCTTTGGCTGAAGGAGTAGCTATGCTAACATTTGCTGTTGCGGTGGAAGAAGCCTTCATTGAACCTGCTTGGCTGCTCTCAGAATTATGAGAGCTGAGATCTTTTTCAGCCATGGAATTTCTCCCAGCACCTTTACCAGACTTGTTATCCTCTTTTCCAAATTCTGGCTTTGTTGTTTTGCTCATCGATCCAGCTGGGACAGCCCGTTTCATCAACTGGTAACCAAAAGGTTATGTACACATGAGACAGATAGAGAACATTCTGAAATGTCACCTAAATTGCAATGGAACCATTAAACTTGGCATACCCAACTCAAGTCAACCATAAATTGCAATTATATTCCATGCAAAAAAAAACTCAACCTCTAGACCTTAACTCCGAGAGGAAAAAACAAGCTTCTTTATTTGCGAACCAAGTTCTACTACCCGAAATCTGTATTTTTACATGGTAAACCCGATAGCAATAGAGAGCATCTACTAATCATAACATCTCCTAAAGTCAGTCCTCTGAGGACAGGCTATCAAGAAGATATGATAAAAAAAAAAGGACCAACCCAGTTCGTATACCCATCTAGCGGGGTGCTAGGGAAGGGAATATACTAGGCAGCCTTAGGAAAGATAAATTTTCCAAATTCAATCACACATACAAATCCCACTAAAGAATCAAGGAAATTATTAAGACAAGATTGCCAACTTCAGCAATATAAAGAACAAGGTTCTATATAGCATACCCCTGTTTCAGAAGACTTTGACGTAACTTTGACAGCATGTTCATCGGATATTCTAGACATTTCATCCGTCTCCTTCTGTTCCCTCGACCTTTTAGATTGGGATAATTGGACATTGCCTCCCTTTGAATTTATATGGCCTCGATCAGATTTGGACAGAGGGATACTCTCTGTTCGTTCCAATCTTCCATCCACAAGTTTAGATCTCGATCCCTGGTCCTCACTCAAGCCCCCAAACTCAGGATGCAGGCTAACAGTTGCCGCTGATCTACCTCCAGTAGATTCAACTTGGGACACACTAACTCCTGAACCATTCTGGGAAGGATCGTGTTTTGGACCATGTGCTGGAGCAGCTTTTAGTTCAAGATATCCCATGCCAAATTCTTCGTCCGTAACCCATGAAGGCTGCAAACAGTGCACATTCAGTCATATGATCTGAAAAACAAAGATGACATTGTCGGGTTTAGTACTCACTTTTCTTGCAGCCAGAGCAGCAGCAACACCAGTAGCTAATACTTTAAGGTCCTCTCTGTCGTCATTTTTTATCTTAGCTACCTGTAAAATAAACAACCGAAGAGATCAGAAATCACAACAACTTAGAGCAAGTTTCAGAGATCGGCTAGTTAAGAGGTACTTGCCCGTTTTTCAAGGTTTATTCCACTTTTCCGAGTAACTGGGAAAACACTAGAAATCTTCGTCAGCATAAGTAGAGCATTGCGAATCTCCATGTACTCATTTGACTCCAGACACTGAATCAATAGCCGTGTAATTCTTTGACTCCATTTCCAATGTACCTTTCAAGAAGATCAACAAAACTTTCTCAGACATGAAAATCAAAATGCAGTGACCAAACAACAAAACGGCTACCAGTACTTAAAAGCAGAATGCATGACAACAGAATAAGACGAAAATGTTCAGGGAAAACAAACACATCAAAAGGTGAAATGAAAGATCCGATCACGAAGTAGTAGCATTTGAGTCCCATCGAATATAAAAGAAAGCTTGAAACTACTTTCCATGTCTCCTGCTATGATCTAGTAGGACCAATACAATAAAGGTAAGGCGTACCAACAGACAGAAAAGCCATCATTTAAGTCACACAGCATGAGAATTACTCCCGAACTTTACTTGTCAACAGAAGTTTGTGATAAGTAGTCCTAAAACCCAACAAAAAAATAAAACCAGGGCACTATTATGTCATTCCGTATTTGACTCCAGAAAAAATATGAGTCGAACAGCTTTTGAAAGGTTTCAGCTTCAGTCATTGACTTCTATTCTAACCTTCAAAAATTGTCCATACGTGACACGCTGACTGTTTGGATATCTATAGTAAACAGCAAAACCTGGCATGTTTCCGCACTCCTGTTCATAGACTGATTCATCACTCTGAAGAATGTAAGACAACACCAGCATTAGAAAGTAGAAGAAATAGTAATGTGTTTATTTAATCATGCAGTCATGCCAATAAATAAAGGGCAATCCGGTGCACAAAGCATCCCCGCTAAGCGGCGGCCTATGAAGGACCCCACCACAAGGATGTATTGTAGGCAAACTTTACTTTGCAGAATATTCCGCAAGAGACTACTTCCATAACTCGAACCCGTGACCTCCAAGTCATAACGGCAACACCTCAACTGGTGCACCAATTCATGTCAATAAATATAAAATAAAATATGAGAGATGCCGTTTACAACATATTTCTTACCTTCCAGTAGTAAGCAATCTTTAAGGTCTCAAACAAAAACCTCCCAAGTCTCCCAGCTTCATATTCAGTGCAGCAGCATATCATTGGTTGTAGTGTTTTGCATATAAGAACATCAATGTGATTGACAGTATTAAAAAAAGGTGTTCCGAGTGAATGGAGCATATGCACAAACTTGGCACAGTAGACAGAATCCGCCATGCTAAATGTGCAGCGAGGGAAAATACAACGCTGAAGGAACTCCATGTTAATCTTCAGAGTATCAGGGCAGGAACTCAACCATTTATCTTTTTCACGAGAAAGCCTTCTATGGACAGAAGCAACATGTTCTTCATGCTTACATAGTTCACTGGTTAGGCGATCAAGAGATTCTTGTATTCTTTCCTTCTCCTTTTTTCTCTTCGTAATTGCTGAACTAGAGTTATCAGCAACCTCTTCAAGCGTCTTAAGTGCAGCATGCTGTTTAGCAATTTCAGACTCATATCGATTTCTAGGAACATAAATATCATAGAGAGTAAGCCCCCAAAACGTTGCATAGAGGTCCGGGGAAAGACTATTCCAGGCTTTTGAGGGCAGCATTGTTCTGACCGTATCAAGAAGGCCAGACCACCTGAAAATGACATGAACAGTGAATGGTAAAAACAGAAAGATCAGAATATAGACAGAAATAGGCCAAGAAAGCTAACTTATATTACTCTAAATCTTCAGAGGTTACTTGAAACTAATGAACAAACAGAATAAATGCTTTCACATCCAGCGATAATGCTGAAGGAACCAAACATAAGAAAAGGGTGAGATGGGAACGTACATTATAGCTTTTTGGGATGGGCCGACATCAAGAATCACTTTTACACAGTTTCCTTGAGGGTCATACTGTGTGTTTTCAGCATCCACATCCATGGATTCGCCAGCATCCAAAGGCCACTGAACAGCAACATTTTGCTGAGACTTGAAAAGCCTCATTACAGGGCGGTATATCAGAAAAGCGACCTGAAAGAGCATTAATAAGAAAATCACAAGTTTTAAAATGCAGGAAAATATAAGGATTTCAAATTGCACAAGAGATGGAGCAAGAAATACTTAAAGATAGAGAACAAAAAACAGAAGAGAGAGAGAGAGACCTCAGGATCAAGATGATATGCATGAACAAGCTCTTCAAGTGAAGGGACCAGCCGAGCATAAGCAGAAGCAGGACTCACTGCATTGGTAAGGAATTCCACATACTGAAGAAGAGTTCCATGACATCGGTCAAACTGCTCACTGACCATCTTAATGTACGGTGCATCCGCATTTATCAAGACTCTGCATGATAATAAACCATCAAAAAGTTAATACTCTAAAACATTATGGTACATACACGCAGTTTTTCACTTTAGAAGAAAAGGGTTGTATGGCCACCCTTAAATGACCTATAATCCAACCTGTTGGAAATATTTCGTTTTAAAAACCTGCATGTATAAGCATTTGTTGAAAGTGTGCATCTAGGTATATAACGTAGACACCAAATATCATGCTCTAGCAAAACATATATGCTCCACACGTGCAGTACGTGAATGCATAAAAATGTTCTAAATTATTTTCTAGGGTTGCAATTTATCAACTTACACAGAACGATGTTGCGCAATAAGTAACAAAAGTGGAATAGCTAATTTTGGTTCATCATTTGGAAGCATTGCATCTCGTAGCCGGTTGGATGATTTGGCAAGTGCCTGCAGCAATACAGAAGAAGAAAACGGAAGAAGTCAAAAACTAAGGTATCACAAAACTTTTCCCGGACATAGATAGACTTCATAACCCTGGTACTATGGACTATGAATTCAAAAGCTTTATCTACAAGGCATGGCATCCTCTGAATGAATAGTTCTCGTGTATATGATACAAGCATGTCCAAGTAAAAATATAGTTACATGGGCATCTGTGTGTGTACTCAGGATAAACAGGCGAAAAAGGATTGAAAGGAGAAAAGGCTTGAAAATTAGAGAGAGAAAAATTAATGAAGGCTCATTCACATTACTCAAAACACAAGCAAGAAACGGAACTTCAATTCCCTGATGCTGACAAGATCATCAGGCTTCCAACAACATTATACAGTGAAGGCTTGGCTCCTCTCACGTATAATTCAACAGTAGCTTTTTAAGAGTTTAAGAAGATAAACCTTGTTGTTCCGTGTCATGCCAAAGGACGTTGCATGATAGCGTAAAGTCTCACTTCCTGCCATGGCATCCAGTTGGTCTTCAGTAAGGTTCTCTGTGTACTGGACATTTGCCATCTGCTGGATAAGTTCCTAGATATAGATATATTCCAGTCAACAATCATTAATCAATTAATAACTGCAGTTAAGATTGTGTGAAACTAAAAAAAATGTACCTGCAGAAGAACAAGCTCAATACCCTGACCCCTCTTCAACTGGTTCACAAGATACTGGAAAAGACCTCTTAACTCCATCGATGGATACTTCTTACACCTGGAGAAGGTGATAATGCTGAGAAACATACTTGAAAAGATGGATTTACAGCAGTAGACACTTCTGGAAGATATTCAATGCATATTTTTGCAATCAATATTTAGAACAGGAGCAATTATCCCAATGCAGTTAGAAAGAGACAGCTCTCTAATAACTAAGGAATTTGAAATCATCAAGAAACCGTGCAGAATTTTATTATTGATAGAAATGAAATAAATAGTATTAAAGGAAAAAAGACAAGTGCCCTAAAACATGCTGCTCAACTTAAACCAATCAATTTGATTCCTACTAAGCATTTTCCAGGCCCCATTCCCACATGACCACCCCTTACCTGGATATTATAGATAAATAAGACGCCATAAATATATATAAGATATGCAGAGCAAGAGGACCTAACAGAAAAGAAAACACAAAAATTGAAAAGAAGAGAAAAAGACACAGTTCTCGCGTTAGATCCCAAAATAAAGTACACATACAGGTGACCCCAAAATGAAGCCAAAGATTGAAGCCAGTCTGACAAATTAAGCCCATCGTCCTTCAGTTTATCACGTCCGCTTTGTGCCAGCCTCTCAATCACAACGTATTCCAAGATATCATACTCAAGCTGCATGAAAGGAAGAATTGGAAACCAACAGATAAAAGGTAAATCACAGGCAGAATCAGCACAGAAATAAAAATGAATAAGCACAAGTTGACCATTAGTAACTCAGTAAAAAGAGTTGTTGCAGAAAACGCAACTGAAGTTAATTAACCATAGGACCAAGAGAACAGCCTTGGTAGTTGGTAGTATACAGTTGAGGTGGAGATCGTTTCAAAAACAGAGTATGATACTAGGTTTCTTCCGAACTGCATAGCAGAATTATCTCATTCTCACTGCATATCTTCCGAACTGCTAGCAACCCATCACCTCCAATTCCGAGAATTTGAAACCACCTCGATCACATGAAAACTCTATCCATTCATAAAGCTTGATAATTATATGACATACAAAAGGAAAAGAAAAAGCGAAAAAATACCTGTGTCAAGTACTTGAAGGCATCCACGACGGGATTAATCATATCTCTGTATGCTTCAATCTGTAATGAATCCCCAGTAGTTAGCCCCATCTAAGCATCTCGAAGTTGTAAACAGGAGAAAGCCAAAAGCAGATTAGATACCTGATGCACAATCGTTCGAAGCACCATCATGGGGTTGGCATGAGCTAGTTTTGCCACCATCCGGCCCAATTGCTTCAAATTTTCTTTTGCGAGCCGTTTCAGAATCCTTCTAGTATCCAACTGAGATATAAGATTAGGCACTTAAAGATCCAAACGAGGTACCATTCGATTCTATTTTGTGAAGAAACCAAATTCAACAAATTGTAATGATATACCTTTGCCACTTGCCTTGCTGCCAACAACAATGGATTCCGCTCACCCTCATTTTCCCACTCACCATATAAGCGATAACGAGCCTAAGAAAATAAAATTAATCCAGGACTGATGACCATGTTCCACATAAGAAAAATCGAGACAAAAATTAAGAAACACAAACCTCATATGTAAGGAGACTCATCACATCCCAGATCTCATGACCAACAGCTGGATTTCCAGGTGTCAATTGCAAAGATGGGAGAAGACATGTCCCTAGAGCTTCTTCTATTCTCGCCCTAACTTCCTTCATGTGCATACGAGGATTTTCAAATAGACTACCTTCTTGATTTGAAGATCCGACACCACCACGAACAAGATCAAGGATGGACAAGTAGTAAACCCTTAATACTCTACAAATCTGCCACAATAATAAACTTTTATCAGCTTGATTTTATCATTTCGGCATAGAATATTCAGTCCTAAAAGTAGAAAGCACCTTCTGCAACAGTATGGTATCCCGGTAGAGGTAGGGTCCAACAATACTAAGCATCTGAAATACTTCTTTAGGAAAATCTACAGATCCCCTATTGCTTGTTGAACTTGCTGCATCAACAGTAACTGTATTTTCTCCATTGGAAGAAATGGAACTCTGAAAACGTGTTTGCCGCACTATGTCATATGCTGGAGAGATTGACTTCTCTATAAGCCTGAAAACAAAAGACCAAGATAACATTACTCACATGAACATTTGCGTGCAGAAAGCCACAGTATCAATAATGTGAAACAAAGTGCTCAAGATGCAGGGGAACACCTCAAGCTATCTAGACCATGACAGAACAGTTGCTAACAATCATCAATGCTACCAACCAGCACTTCTAAGCCAAAGTAGTAAGAGTTAACTGTACGATAATATGAAACACTTACTTAAACAAACCACTACATATCTGAGTGTGCGCCACTGGATTAAGAGGTGCAACACACTCAAACAAGATATGGGCATGGTACCTGAAAAGTGTAATGAGTTAGCACAAAAACACAATGGCCATAGTGTTTGTTTCATCACCTCGTAGCAGTAAACAGAAAGCACTTGAACTAGCATATATTGATTTTATTTATGTCACCCAATATATTAATTGATTTATACTACATGGGTAACAGTAAATGGAGGCTGTGACAAATATTACAATGCAAACTAAAACATGTGACAGGATCCAGAAATTACAGGGATGTGAATACTTGGCAAAATATACCAGTGAAATTACCCAATATGTCCTTCCAAGTCATAAACAACACAAAAGATTCAATTGTCACAAATAGACAATTCATGAACAAGTACTAATCCTAAAAGAACTTCCACAGTCATAAGATGATAACATGAAATTCCAAAAGTGTCAACACAAAAATGGTCCTGCTCAAAGACTAAGGAGACTAATATGATGCAAGGAGATTGATGAAATGAAAAAATAAAATAAAAACGGATGACGACAAGCTGCACATTCGGTCAAGTTGAAAGTTCTTTCATATATCAAGAGGATCTAGTGTATCTACCAATCGTCCACAGCAAGAAAACCATTAAGGAGACCCAGAGTTTGATTATTTTCAAGCTCTGGAGCCCGTTCAGCAACAGCTTCAGTTTCCATGTCTAAAGCAGCAAAGAGATCTACTGTGACATCTCCTGGCTTTTCGTCCTCCATAAGATCCTTCCCAGTAGCAGCAAGATTTATTTTTCCAATTTTATTGGCCTACAAAAGCATATGAGATTATGTATCAGAATGGATGAATAAACCCATAAAACAAAAAGGAATACTGTAAAACCCCAGAACACGAGAAGATCATTGACTCCTAGTCCCTTTCAGAAGAAACAATAAGACTAGTTTATAGTGGGTATCCATTTATATCCATATTTGAAGAGGCAAGATGACCAGATAACTTCCATTTAAACAAGGCATGACGTTTTTTCACTCTTCTTTCCAGGAAAAAAAACTTGAAGCCTCATACAGACTACTAACGTCAGTTCAGAGCAAAATAAGGGTAACACGTCCACAAACAAACACCTAAAAACTAACCATAATTCCAGAAAACACACCTCCTCAAGTCGCTTTGCAGAAAAAGCATTATAATGCTCAAAAGATTCCTCATGCTTAGGCAGCAAATGGGAATATCTGTCACAACCGCAGAACAATAACAATTAAGTAAAAATGTTATGTAAGGCATAGTACAGCACAACTTGACAGAAACATAAGAGCAGCAAAATTGCAACTACAATGTTGATGCATTATTGAAATAAGTAGGCGCTAAACACAATTTATTCACTCTGGCAGGAGTAAATAGTTTGTGTTTATTAAGAATATATGTACTATGTGGTCTTCCCCAAGAACATTCTCCATATAAGTAACTAAAAAAGTTGCAAAGAAGCATTTGTCAGAACTCAGAAGTAAAAGTTCCTGAAACTACTTCCAAGCTACCCACTTACTTAATCCAGTGATTGGGGAATGTTCAGGGAAACAAAACATTCATCGTGAATAAAACTGTACCAGAAGCCAGCTTCCAAATGCTTTACTATTGAAACACCATAGGCTCAGTAAAGATTACCCAGCAAAATACAGGCATACTTCCCAAGATCAGACATCGTAACCTACACAATGAACCTACTTATTCACCCACACCATCCTTAATTCAGAATCAATAATGGTTGTAAAGGGGAAAAAAGGAAAAGAAAAACGAATATCATTTGAACATATAAAGTGCAAAAGAGATAGCCACCAATGTTTAAAGCAGATTTATGGGATTTAAAGAAAAAGAGTACGCACATGCTATCAAGACTGATAAATTCTTCCTTCACAAGCAAAGCTGTAAGCTTATAGAGCCCAAATGGGACAGGATTGTTTACTTCCAATCTCTGATAGAATTGAAACTTAAATCCAAGTATTTGAGAAGCATGAGACTGCAAAGTAAAAGGAAAACGTGAGCAGAGACATGTTTCTCAAATTGAGGAGTAGAATAAGCCAACAAAAAGAATAAATGTCAAACCTTTGGAAATATTGGAATTAGATCAAGAAATAAGTTATTATCTGGTTGAAGTTCAAAACAATCCAGCACCTATAAATAAAAAACAAATGGTAAACAAAGCAGGATGAAAAGAGTAGATGCACTCTGCGATATCAAACAAAAAACGAAAAAATGAACAGTGACAACTTACTATGTCAAAAACGCGGTTCAGATCTAGGTCAAAATGTCCAATTAATGACTGCAAGTAATATTTTAGATCAGAAACTGGGAACAAGGCATATAGCCAAACAAAATGTAACTGAAAATTCAAAACCTTGATAATTCCCATTGTAGCTGCTGAGGTGTTCTCCGATGAACTTGCAGATCCTCGGCAAAGAAGAGTGACCTACACTCCAAAAAAAAAGTATTATAATAAGGTTCACAAGAACCTCACTAATTTCCAACTCCAAGATATTTCTGGTCGTTTTGGCCAATCAACTCTTGGCGGAAAATTCGAATGATTAAAAAGAGTATATCTGTGCATTTCCATATCGAACTAAGTTTAATCATAATTATCAGAAAATACGTCAAAGGAAAAGGTCAAATACGCATCTTGGAAGGGATCATCCCCTCCGGATCAAAGGCAAGCATTGCCATTGCCATTGCCAAGACAGATTTTACAGAAAAGTAAGACCGAAATTAACAACAGAATAACCAAAAGCATCAACAAAAGGCAAAAAAAAAAGGCATGATTATTGACGAGGGACTTTTGACAAACCAGTTTGGCGTATCCCTCACTTTCTTCACGGAGTAAGTTGAACTTTGTTTGTTGGTAAAGAAGGCGGGTGTTTACCCTGACCTGAACAGCACCAATCAGAAAATGCAATTCGTAGACAATAAAGTATCAATTACATACTGGTGCATGAGAAACTCTCCCTATCGAAATATTCCACAAAAGCACCTCATTCGTAGAATTAAATCAGAATATGATTTCATCACCTCTTTTCCCTTCAAATCTTGAGCCTTTATCTTAACCATTGCAGTTTCCCACAGAAACTCTTCCTAAAAGATAATATATCAGTGTTTTTAGCTCTGTCTTTCTGCGCAGTTGACCGTTAGGTAATCAAGAAGAAACAATGGGCAAGCTGATGACCGCCAACTGTTACAATGGGAACAAACTATCAGTATTTTACCTCACAACGCTCCTGAAAAAGCCTCTGAGGGACTATTTTTGATTCCACGAGCCACTTTGCCTGGATAGAGAAAAACAGCTTGCTGATTGATTGTGAGCATAGACATCTTAAGGAAGGAGGCCAGAAAGATCATAAAGGTGAGTCCCACAGATAAGCATATAATACATGTAACAATGGAACTCAACATACTGTTCGAGTCAGGAACTCAGAGAACTTTAGACCAGTCATATAGTTGGATGTCAGGAAGCAAAGGTGCAACCAAAAGGAAGCTATGGCATCAGGGTTGTCAAAGTTTCAAGTATTTAGTAAAAAACTACTATTTGATAAGCAAGGACAGACATATCTTTGTATTATTTATAAATAGAAAAATCTACATATTGTTCAAATGCATTCATTAAGAGTCCTATAACCACATTCTGGTCTCACATATAACCTCAAATAATGTATCTCCTATCAGAAAAGCCTAATCCATACATATATACTATCAAACCAACTATTGTTATGAATCCTTTTTGGAAGCTTAAAAAAGCAAGATGGGTAGGGGGCCAAGCCACCTCCAGAAAATAAGATCACTTTATGAAAACAACGAAAAATAAATTCTAATACTGACCAACTTTATTAGACGCCCACGCGGATCTCCTGACATGGTAAGCTGCACGCGAGACAACGACGATGTGATAGGATTCATAGGAACAGGTCAAAGTGTTAACAAAATGTACATTTCTAACAAAATCAAAACTTACTGGTCCCCCTGCGTTAACAGTAAAACCCAGTATCCGTGTACCAATCATTTCGTAAGCTAAGACAAAATGTTAAATTTCTAAATGAAATCCCCTTTCTAACAAGCCAGAGTTCGGACTTACATCTTGAGCTATCTGAGTCACAACATCAGCGAAACACGAACCCAATTCTTCTTTCGATGGCTTATCCGCAAAGTTCATTGCTTGGAGAACAGCCTTACAGTTCTGAATCGGCAATTCGCCACGAACCTAATAGCCCAACGAGATACATCGAACTCAAGTACTCGAAGAACATCCATCGCAGATGTACTTACCCAAACATAAACCCGAGTACTATCATGCAAAGAGAGAGAAAGAGGACGAAAAAGAGAACAAGTACCATGGTCCAACATAGTTCATAGACGAAGCGAAGCATCGGCACGGAGCTCGGTAGCTTCGAGCCGTAGTTCCCGTTCTTACATTCGCGAAGGAATTCTTCTGTCACGAACTTACACTTAAGTAACGGAAGAGACATCCTTACCCTTTGTTCTACCTTTCCCTCCTCCTTCTCCTGTCGGAACGGAAGAACAGGACCAAGATCCAAAAGACGAAGAAAATAGGGTTTAGGCTGCTGGAGATTTCGATTGGTGAGCAGAGAACTGTGGCGACACCACGCGAAAGAACGTGTAAAATGGAGGAGAAATTAGGGTTTCCTGAGGAATCATTCGATCTCTGCAAGAAAAAATTGAAGGGTTTCTTGAGGAATCATTTGATTTCTGCAAGAAAAAAATTGAATGACAACGTCGTCGACGTCAAACGATATATGGCTCCGGTTTTTATTCGAAGCTTCTTAAAAGCTCCGGTTCATGCGAACCGGGACCGGTCCAATCGAAATTAACCGGCTTATTAATGAAATCAAACGTGGGTTCCATTAGCTATTCCGGCTCAGACACCATGATCGGTTTATATTGATATTTAATATCTTGTTTTGTGAAAATATTTGCTCAACTTTAAATTTTATTACTTAATGCGTTAGTTTAAGCAAGTGATATTACCTTCGCAATGCGTTTTATTTCTTTTATGTTCCTTTATCTGTTTTTATTATTTAAAAAATAATTATTGTGCGATACAAATATATTAATACATGATTTGGTTTTGGTATAAAATTAAATATTAAGCCCAGATGACATTACGGGGCTCTTAATTAAACCCAAAATTGGCAAGACCAAGCCTAAGCTAATAAGGCCAACTTCTTGGCCCATTTACGTTGTACCCGATTTCGCCCCTGTATGAAACCATTGGCCCAAAACAGTATATGCGTATGCGTATGCGTATATGTATGTATATATGTATATATATATATACGTACATGTGTGCGCGCGCGCGCTTGTGTGTGAAGACGATTAATATTTAGTTAAACATTTTTTTGTTTTAAAACCCAAATACTGAGTGCGTTTTTATAGCACAAATAAGCAAAAAAAACATATCTTAATCAATTCCAAAAAAAGAAAAGTTTTTTTTTTTGGTTAAGAAAAAAAATCAGTAATCTTTTTTTTTTTTTGAAAAAGTACATGTTTTGGATGTAGCTGATCAAATTGACATCTAATGGGTAATTGCCAACAAGAAATATTGGTCAAAAATACCATATTATTATTTCATAATGTGTGGTGTATATGCAACATATATATATATATATATAATGAAATGATTTGTAAACTGATGGTGATTGGTGGGAACCAAGAAGTGGACAAAACCTAATCGGGCCCACGGAGTCAGTGCTCTTTCGAAAATGACAAACGCAGCCAGAAAAAGAAAGACAAGGAGATCTCTACCAAAGATCGTGATGCGTCCTTCGATAATTTTTTGTCCTTATTAATTCTACGAAATCACATTTGAAAAAAGGAATTAATGTCTGTGTTTGCAGAATTAGAAAGGATTATGATAAGGTTTAATATTCCATAATTCATTTTCATTTATTTTATAAATTATATTCATTCCATTTTGTTTTTTATTTGATTTTAGTTCTAATAAATTTGGAGTTTGAAAAAAATCATTTTCTAAATAAATATTTTGTTTCTATTCTTTTCACTTATTTTTAGGTTCGAGTAATTTAATTTCAAAAATCAACATCCATTTATTTAAAAATATTTTAATTAATTAACCTAATTGGATTGATATGATTGGTTTTAGACACCGTTGTGTATTATTAGATTTATTTTGGTGCTAAATAACTTAACCTAGATAATTACCTAAAATCCTCTCCTTCATTCATTCACGGTGCAAATGAAAAAGATTTAAAATGCGATATATGTTTGATAGAGAAATAAATGTAATACAGATTTAAATCTGTCAGCAAAAAAGTCTAACATTTATTTAATATTTCCTATTCAAATGACCACGTTTTAAGTGGTGAATCTGAAGTTTTATTACACACACACATATATATATATATATATATATATATATATATATATGTATATACGACCTAGCATCACCTCGATTCTGAGTGGTCCTTTAGATCAAATGTTGGTTGACTATTGTATTTACGTTGGTTTGGATACGAACCTATTCTTTAATGGTAAAAATATTTAATTTCTCATTTCTAAGTGGTTGATCTCATTTATTATATATTTGATTTGCTTGATTACTCTGTGTATATTTTTATAAACTTTTCCTTATACTTATTATAGTATATTAATATATTATGATTGATCTTGTGATTATAAGAGTGCAAATATGACTATATATATATATAAGTTGAAAGGAGTGGTGTTATGGAGAGTTAAAAATCATTTGCATTCTCTTACTATTCTAGGAAACTCTTTGTTTTTTTTATGGAATGATATATATATATATATAAATATTTAAAACTTCAAAAAATATTAATGTCGATTACAAACGTTTCATGTGTCAACGTACGGATGAATAATATCTATTTTTTTATAATCTAAAAATTCATTATACTTTCAATGCAATTGCATTTTTTAAAAGGATCGTAAAATTCAGGGTGAATTAATGTCTCTTCTTTCCCAGATGCAGACTCAAATAAGGATTGAACATAATTTTTCTCACTTTTTTACTAGTTGATTGATAGATCCTATTTTGGTTCACCGCAGAGAATTTACCCGTGTGCACATAATATATATGGAAACTAAATTCTATCGTAACCTCTTCATATTCTTTTAATAATATATTTGAAAAAAAATATATTATAGATGGAAGATGTTACATATGCATGTATGCATGTATGTGAGAATGGGACTCTCTCTCTCTCTCTCTCTCTCTCTCTCTCTCTCTCTCTCTCTCTCTCTCTCGTAATTGAGATGCAGCTGTTGGACACTGAATGACTCCAAAACACTTTAAACCTAGTGGTGGGAAATGTGTTTATCCACCTCTTTCTCTTTGATTCATATCTTCTTATTTTCTTTTTCTCTAAATGAAAATCAAATATTATCCGTTTTTATGTATAGAATTTATAAGTATTATTCGTCTCTCCAACATCTGCTCTCACATATTTGTTTAGAGAATTTATTCTTCACCAATACAGTACTATTTCTTTCACCTCTTTTCCCGATGCATTTGCTTGCAAGCAATCCATTTTCGGAAAAAAACTAGGAAGTACCCTTTTCCTCGATTCATCTCCTCATAACCTAAAAGTCAACAGCTTCTGCTTCTGTCGGCTCTTTCCTTCTTCCAGATCCCAACAATTCCACAGCACAACTGTAAGTTGCTTTTTCGTGTTCTTGCCTTTGTAAAGATTCGATTCTTGTTTATGGTTACACCGTACCAGGTCTATAACTATATATATATATATATACATATAATTTTTCTCTTGTTTATGTTTCTTTTGAATCTCTTCTCCGAGTAAAAAGGCTTCAGTTAGATTTTTTTTTTTGTTATAAGCTTCGGACAGGCTTTCTTTATGAGATCGTCTAATTTAGAAGATCTCATCTCATAAATTTAGGGTTTCGTTGAAGCCGACATAGAATTTAGAAACGCATTTGGTTGCTGTCCAAACTCAATCCTGGCTGATTCTGTACTAATTTGGAGATGCATTCTGTGCAGCTGACATGAACATGTATATGTATATATCTTGAATATATATATAGCCCTCGATAAGTCCCCCCCTTTTTTCACTTGCCTATGTATACAGAAATGTATATAGTCATGGTTTCGAGTTTCTGACTTATGACACTAAGAAGTGAATAATAGATAAAGGGTCTTGTTCATAAGATTGATTTGTTTGGTATGGCAGGTGAGAGGTTCTATTCAGACAAAAATGTCGGTAATGAGTGAGATAATGACACCGTCCAAGTTGAAGTCGAACTCCAACTCCAACTCCAACTGGAACTCAAATGGAGAATCCGATGTTTCTCAAGAACCAGTCAGGGGAGAAACCTCTTCAAACATTTCATCTCGAGATCTGTCCAAACCCGTTTCTGCTCATGTCTCTCTCGATCTGACGCTCAAGAATGGCTTCAGAGTCGACGAACTCCAGCCCGACGACAGACCCGCCGTTCCAAGAACCTTCTCTTGTAATTACTGCAGACGCAAGTTCTACAGCTCTCAAGCCCTAGGTGGCCACCAAAACGCTCATAAACGCGAACGCACGTTGGCTAAACGCGCAATGTACATGGGAAGAATGTTCAGCCACCACCACAGCCCTTTCACTAGCCTCGCTTCTCTACCACTCCAGTACTCCTCCTCCTCCTCGGCGTTTCGCTCACTCGGGATCCAAGCCCACGCCGGGGTAATGCACCACGGTATTGGCTTTGTACC